AAGAGACCCTTGAAGAATTTCAACAACTCCCACCCCACCATCAACCTCAGCCGGGACCAGTCCACATGAGAGATCCACTTCCTTGACTTTACAGTACAATTACATGACGGACACATTTCCACACCTTTATACCAGAAACTTACCGACCATTGCACTTACCTACAGGCCTCTAGCTTCCATTCCAAACACATTTCTCAATCTATTGTTTACAGCCAAGCCCTAAGATAGAACCAGATTTACTCCAATCTCATAGACAAAGATAAACACCTACAGAATCTAAACTGAAATACCTACCCAGAGAAGTGAAAAAACAGATTGACAGAGCCAGAAGAGTACTGAGACATGAACTACTTCAAGACAGACCAAGAAGAGAAAACAACAGAATTCCACTTGTCATCACATACAGCCCACAACTTAAACCCTTCCAACGCATTATCAATAATCTGCAACCTATCCTGGAAAATGACCCCTCACTCTCACAGGCCTGGAGGGAAAGGCCAGTCCTCGCCTCTAGACAACCTCCTAACCTCAAACAAATTCTTTTCAGTAACCACACAACACACCTCCATCATAATCATCCAGGAACCCACCCCTGCAGTCAACCCTGGTGCCAGCTCTGTCCACACTTCTATAAAAGCAATATCATCACTGAACCCAGTCACGTCAGTCACTACATCAGAGGCTCATTTAACCGCACATCCACTAATATAATCTATGCCATCAAATGCCAGCAATGCCCCTTTGCCATGTATATTGGTCAAACTAGACAGTCTCTATGGGACAGAATTAATGGCAACATGCAGAAACCTGTTGGGGAACATTTTAACTTTCCTGGGCACTCATTAATGGATCTCAAAGTCACCACATTGTTTCACGCCAATTCCACAAGCCAACTACACAGGGTAGCCTTAGAACTTAACTTCATTTCCAGGTTTGATTCCTATCACAAAGGTATGAATAGAGACATTGGCTGGATGGCCTGCTACATTCCACATCCTAATGACATAAAAAAACAAACAATGGGTTCTTAAGAACAATTTGCACCTTCTCTATCAGCTTCTTGTAGCATGGACACTCTAATTGACTACTTCTTTCCCCCTTTTTTTCCTTCTCTCTCACCCTCCACCAATCCTTTATTTAGAAACTGGACTTATAACAACTCCATTCAACTGAAGAAGTAGGTTCTGTCCACGAAAGCTCATGATCCCATCTACATGTTTTGTTAGTCTTTAAGGTGCTGCAAGACTATTCGTTGTTTTTTAAGTTTTTCCCTTATTCCATTCTTCCCTGATAATTCTGTCAGGAGAGCAAGATTCGTTCACCTCACCACCATCACCACCAATGTGGGAGGAGATGGGGGCCAAAAGGAGACCAAAGCCATATTTGTAAATATGGGCCTTTTATCCTCACAGTCTATCTGGATCCAGGCACTCCTTTTGACCCAGGCTGCTAAAATATGATAATATATGATATAATATATCCCGCCTCAGTTGCAGCAGTAGAGTATGACGTGTTCCCCACACATATGCAACATTCTTTGGAAGAGCCACAAGATGTGAAGATGATGTGTGACAGAGACTCCTCCCCTCTTCTAAATACAAGGTGAGATCCCATTCGGAATATCCCTTCTGATCAGTGATTAGTTTTTTCAGAAGCAGGGAGAAACAGCTCACGGATTTCAATGGGAGTTCTGCTATTAATTTAAATGGGCTTGGAAAAGGTCCATGTCATAGTAAAAGTGGAGGGGTTGGGTTTTTTTTTTTAATCTTATCTTCCCACTCAACTTCAGGCTTAGGCTATCAATCACTAGTACCCGCGGCCTGGGGTAGGCTTCTGAGGATGAGATCTGGTCATCTGGGCCAAAGCTGCTTACTCCCCTGTACGCACATGTTCCCCACTCAAAGTACCAACCCCTTCTAGCAGCCAGCTCTACATTCACAGCATGACTCTCCGCTTCTCCCACTCCTTTTCCCTCTCTTTCCTGTTGCTAGCAGCCAAGTGAATGCTTGGAATTGTAGTCCCTTCCCTGCTTCAGAACCAGCTCTCTAGGCAGGGAGATGGCCAAGGAACTACAGCTCCCAGGGTACTTTGGGCTCCCCATCATTAAACAGGGACCTTCTGAGATTGGGCCAGGGAACAATTGACCCAATGCTAAATCTGCCATTTCCTGGAGTTACTTTTCTAAATAGACAATTGCAAATTACATACCCTGGGCTCCCATGCTCTCTTTTTACTTTCAGTACATACAGAGTAGCTGATTGTGACTCAAGTTAAAAGTCTGATTAAAACAAAACCTAGCCCAGCATTGAGACAGATGCTTTAATTGACCAAAAATTAAAGTAAAAGGATCCAAGCACTAATCACTTTGGGGAAATAATAATTGTCTTTGAAATTGTAAGGTTTTGCAAATCCTATGAGAGTATACAGCACCAACCCCTATAACTCTTCTTCCTCATAATGAAAATCAAAGTGTGCTCCAGCATCACTGTGTGCAGTCTCCTGTGTATTCAATTGTATTTCCTCCAAGTATTAAACAAAAAATGAATATTTGTAAAGATGACTTAACAGCAAAGCATGATTAACCTAAATGAGCCTTTCAGGAAATCTATATGAAGCCACTTAAATGTACCTGCTATGTATATATGGGGGTGGTGGTGCTTAAGTCAATGTATTACTGTTATTTATTGTTTCCAGTTGAACAATATGCTAGGTGTTTTTCAAACTTGAGGAAGACACAATGCTTCCACTGTCGTGTTTACAGTCTAAGAAAAACAGCATACTGTAATGCAGATACGATGCATCATCTGTCTCTTATTGAACTTTTCATTTATCAGGCATGCCTTTTACTTTTCATACTTACTCTCCAGACCAGAAAACCATTTATACACATATACAAAGTTAGTCAGCATATGCTTCAAGTTCAGCAGATGGTTCAGAATTTCGCTGGGTTAAGATATTAGAAATCGCTTGGATAAGCCAATTTCCTTCAGCCCATTAGGCCAGATAAAGCTAAAAGATCTCAAAAACACATATGCAATGAAAAACCCATAGAGTTTCATTCTCCATTGCCCTGTACAGCAGTCATTTATAACCATGCAAAAAGGATGTAAAATGTTACCTAATCATAATGGTAGCATTTTAAACCCACTTTGTATTAGAGCAAATCCATAATAAGTTAGCCTACACTATACAAGAAAGGGTAAAGGATCAGAACACAAATATATATGGAAATACCTTGAGTGATATAATTTGAAATAAGGGTTCCTAAGTATTTACATAGAGTGTCTCCAAGAACTCCTTCTCCCGTTCATGATTATACCCCATTATTGTGGCATCTACATCCGTTGTAGATGTGAAAATTAACATCTGTCAATAACGTATATAATGTACACTATTTGTAATCGCCACAGATTACTTACTTACTGCTAAGGTGAAAGGAGGTCACCAGCATGATTGCCATCTTATTTCCCACTTGTAATCTCAAATAAAACTAATTTGAACCTAGAAACCATGGTTTGGTAAGCATCCTCTTGGTACACTTGTTTAACCGGTTCTTCTGTACACAAATGTTTTTATACTGTAACAGAGTTGCCCTGTTTCTTGGCTCTCTGAGAGGATCCTCCTTCCCCAACCATTACAATGAAATATCCACACCCATTGATGGTACAGACGCACCATTTTGATCACAGATTAGTTATCACCAAAGAGCACCTCCTGAATTTGTCACATCTGTTTTAAAATTAAACCATATATTTGCAGATTCCACAAAACTTGTTTTAGTGAGTATAGTGAGATCAGCTGGCAGGGAGCCTTGGGACTGTTTGAACCTATACTGTGTCAAAGTCAGACAGGACTCACAGATTTGTCAGACCGCTCTGTTTATTTCAGCAAAGCTCTGCTAAAATGCATCCAGAAAATGTGAGCACCATACAAGGTTCAAACCCCTTGATTTATACAGTCAAAAGGCCAAGTTAACAGGATCAAAAGAGGGGCAAAACTTCACATTATCAGTGTGGTTAAGTATCTTCATTTCAATATCAAGCACACAGCAATTTCCTGTTCATATCTCCCTGATTATCTGGAATTGCTTTCTGCCTAACACCTAATGTTCCTTTTCCTGTTAACTCAGGCCCACCTGGCTAGCACGTTGATTTGCATACCTACAATCAACATTAAAATACTTTTCTTCTTCCTCTTAAAAGACAAACAGAATTCCTTCAACTTATTCAATTATTACAGCACAATTCATCTTTCTCTTACAGTATAATTCTTTCTACTTTCACAACTGGCTAGGTTGAACCCTTCTCTGCCTAAGTGGTCTCCAACCTTTTTACACCCAAGATCACTTTTTAAGTCTCAGAACAGGCAAAGATCTCCTGCCCCGCCCCTTCCTTGAAGCCCCGCCTACATTACATGAGGAAATCTAATGTAAATGTACTGCGCAGGTGCGCAGTTCAGAGAGGGCTCAAGAGCTACTCTTGGAGCCCCTGAGATCTACTGGTAGGTCGCGATCTACTGGTTGGTGACCACGGGCCTAAGGGATCATATATCAACTGGAGAGGGTGGGAGTCCAGTGCATTGACAATCCTGACACTGACATATTCCCTATTCTGGGCCAAGATATTGCCCAGAGCCAGATATTGGAGTACTGCCCCTTCTGAAAGCTCCCCAGCACCAGGAGAATTATCACCATCCAAATGTAAGTATTTTATGACTCTTTAGGTGAACAGAATAGCACAGAGAGAGAAGGAGGCACCAGAGAATCAGACAAAAAATCAAACAGTAATGACTAAACATCTTTTTCCTTTTCAGTTATACTATTTGACTCTTCTGGTGTTGTCATTTCACTAGTTCTTCTATTTGGCGACCTAGCCAGGACACAAATTTCTAATGGAAAAAACTGACAGGAAAGAAGATATTTAGGGGAAAAAATCATCCACATTTTCCTTATACTCTGTTAAAGAAGGAGCAACACCTTTTTTCTTTTATTTCATTTGCAGGTCACCTGCAAACAGGACTCCTCTTCATAGAATCATAGAGCTAGAAGAGACCTCAGGAGGTCATAAGTCCTACCCAAGGAAGGACCAATCCCAACTAAATCAACCCAGCCAGGGCTTTGTCAAGCCAAGACTTAATAACCTCTAGGGATGGAGATTCCACCACATCCCTAGGTAACCCTTTCCAGTGCTTCACCACCTTCCTAGTGAGACCCTCTTCCATCCTGATGGATGATCAAGCTGACTTAAAAATTGATATGGCCCCAGGGCTTTCAGGTGAGTGACACTTCCTGCTTGCCTCTGTTCAATAATCCTGATAGATCCTTATCCAGGTTGGAGGTTTTGTTTGTTTTGTTCCTTTTTTTATAGTCATCGGGTTTGCCAGGGAAGGAGTTGGGTTAAAAATGGGACAAAACCTTCAGGATTTGGCATAATATATTTTCTGGATGCAAGCAAAATTAATGAATTTTAATCAGTGCTGTGAATAATATTTGTATGTACGTGTGTATAATAGAAACACTTTATCCTTATGTAGCACCTTTCATTTGAACATCTCAAAGCAGATTATGAATGCTAATTAACACAATGCTCCTACAGTGACATAGGTATTGTCATGTATTATGTCAGTATTTGCAGAAGGATAAACTGAGGTAAAAAACACATACTTGCCCAAAGTGAAGACCACATCCTACTGCTGCTGGCAGAGCCAAGAATAGAAGTAAGGAGTCCTGACTCCCAATCACCTGTTGTGACTATTGGACACACTGCCTCCCTCCTTCCTTTATTTAATTCTACCAGGTAAGGCCCATGGTTGACGGGGGCAAAGTCATTTTGTGTAGATTATACTTAAAAGGAAAGTTCAAGAAATTAAATATATGTAGTAGAATTTTTTTATTAATGTGCTTGCACAAGGGAAGTAAAAGAACAGTTTGAATTTTGCAGGATTTCAACTTCAAACATTATTCATTTTATTGAATAATTACCATACATTGTAAATTTGAACCAAAAACTCCTAAAGCTTCCATTACTCTTTCCATAACTATTTTGAAATATTTTGTGATTTGTAACAGTAAAAATTGTCTTTGCACTAAAATGACTGTTGAAAAGTCACTCACCATATTCTGGTGTAAAAAGTAGTGCATTCAGTTAATTTAAGTGGCAGGATTGTTTATGCAGATTTGGTATCTGTAGGTTATTGCAAAATATGACATTATTTTTCACGAACAAACCCATAAACAAACTCTTCAAAATATATAATAGATTATCTACTTCATATGACCATAATAATTAGCAGTGAGGCTGCAACTCTAGCTACAAGGATTCATACTAGCTAGAGATGCCCAAAGGGAGCATCTCCCATTTACAAAAACTAAATAATAGAGCAGAACAGCTTTCAACAAGACTCTGGAATGTCAAAAGGAAACAAATTAATTCTTAACTATGCTAATATTACTAGGCAATGTTCAGAAACATTGGGCTTTTAACATGGAATACATTATACAGCCTCAATAAAAATGTCTGACATGAGTGAATTTCTGCTTTAATTATATTTCTCTCTTTTATTTTCTTTGTTTTACTGTTGCTTGTACATATACCCACACCACAGATTTTTGCTTCAGGCTTCCTAGGTTTAAAAAGAAGGCAGTAAGCACCTATAACTGGAATTAGCACTTTTTGTTGAGACACTAGTAGAAGTCTTTGTCCCATGTATTCTAGGATGTCCCCGGGAGGAACACCTTTTCCTGCAAACCTTAGAAGCTATAGTACTCCTGGGCTACATCTACACTACATGCTTCTTGCTCAAGAAGCCTTTTGCACAAGAGTTTTTGTGCAAAAACTTCTTGCACAAGAGCACGTCCACACCTCAAAGAACATCGCAAAAGCCATGTGCTTTTGCGCAAGAGAGCGTCCACACTGCATGGACGCTCTTGCGCAAGAAAGTTCTGATGGCCATTCACAGAATGGCCATCAGAGCACCTGTGCTTCTTCCCATGGGGTTTCTTGTGCAAGAAACCTCTCTGGAGTATCCACACTTGCCTTTTTGTGCAATAAATGTAGCGCAAAAAGGAGTTATGCCTCATAAAAGGAGGTTTACCTACACCAGCAAAAGCCCTCTCTCCTGCCGTTTAACTGTTGATTTACTTGCACAAAAGCGCATTTGAGGTGTGGACACTCCATGGGTTTTTGCGCAAAAACCCTAAAGTGTAGACGTAGCCCTAAAATATATCACTACTGTGAACTTTTCCAACTCCCTAAGAATCTTCCTGCATCTGTAATCATTGTTATATCTGTGCAGAGAGTCATAAAATCAGAGGGGTCTCACATGTGCACAAGAGTCTGACATGCATATCCAACTGCACAACTGAAGACTACAGCCCTGACTATGAAAATTTATGCAAGTATTCCCTCAGTGGGACTTAGTCTTCTTTGGAAAAAGCAAACATGTCAAAGAAAGACACTAAAAATATGAGAATGTGTATGCTTCCCAGCACACATCTCCTGTTACACAATCTTTTCCATGCAAATTCAAGATATGAGCAGCAACTAGTGGCTGTTGTTTCAGTGGGGTTGAATGACCTATATAATAAAGAGGCAATGTTTATCCAGAGATGGTAAAAGCACCTTCACTTATGCCTCCTTTGTCCCAGCACACTGCAGACTGTCCATGAACATAGCAATTGGTTCAGATACAAGAGATCTCTATTATGCATAGCACAGATGTAGTGACAGGTGATGGCATCAGCACAGGCAGGCAGACAGACAGCACAATTGTAAAATAAGTGGATAATAGGAACGCAGCTCAGGATCCCAGGAGAGAGAGAGAGAGAACTCATGATTACTGAGATGTACTGGAGAGGAAATGTTTACCTGACTTTGAAGGTTACAGTAGATTAAAACAGAATAGGGAGGTCTTAGTGCACTAACCAAGGAAGATGGGGAGCACTATTTACACAAGCCGTGGTGTGGGAGGTCTCTCTCTAATTTTTAGCAGAGGAGAAGAAAGCTGCTTTCTCCCTATTCCCTTTATTTTAACATCTTCCTGACATGTCAGTGCTTATGGATAGGCACCATTGTTGTATATCATTTCTAAGAGTGGCACATAATGTATCTTATACATGCCTTTTAGCACTGGAATAATTCCCTCTGATGCACATGCTGTTAAAAATGCAGTATGCAGATTTAATTCAATTACAAAAATTGGGAACACCGTCAAACAGAAATCCGGTCCATAGCAGATATGACACTTTCAGACACTGTTCATGTAGACATTGTTCCCCTCGCCTCAGTTAGGTTTGCACAATAAACAGGACACATGCCAGTGCACCGAAGTTCCAGTAGAGGCAGAATGTCAGTATGGTACCGCTGTCACAAAATAATCATATTATGCTTGTCACTAATCCATATATATAGTCTCCCAAGGAATAAAGACCACCAACACCAATACATGCTCCAAGTCTATGTTCAAAGTGAAAAGAATGCAAGCTAAATTTGGTTTCGGCAGCTTTAACTTGTGTTTTTTTCTTTCTTCTCTTTTTAATGCTGCTGTTGGAGATAAGTATATTCAGGGCTCAGTCTAAAGTCAGTTAAATCAGTGTAAGTCTTTCTGTTGACCTCACTATGGGCTTTGAATTAGTTCCTGGAGGAAGGGATTTGATCCTAACCAAAGCATCTTCTTGGAGAGAGTGACAGGGTTGGCATACCCCACACTAGCCCATAAAGGCTAAAACCCATATTCCGGACAGTAGGGGTGTGTCTGCAAATCAGGGCTTAACTTGAAATAAGCTACATAAATTGTGTTACTGTAACCCACACACGTAAGCTATGTCTAGACTACAGCCTTTTTCCGCAAAAGCTTATGCCAATGAAGCACTGAGTAGAATATCGCCACGCTTCATTTGCATAATTAATTAGCGGCCATTTTTGCGCAAGAGGCTTTTGCGCAAAAAGGAGCTGTGTAGACAGATCCTTTTTGAACAAAAACCTCCTCTTGGGCAAGAGCCGTTCTTCCTAAAAAAATGAGGAACAACGACTCTTGCACAAGAGGGGGGTTTTGCACAAAAAGGAGCCATCTACACAGCTCCTTTTTGTGCAAAAGCCTCTTGCACAAAAACAGCTGCTAATTAATTATGTAAATAAAGCACAGCAATATTCTACTCCATGCTTCATTTGCATAAACTTTTGTGGAAAAAGGCTGCAGTCTAGATGTAGCCCTAGTGTGGTTCACTGTCCCATGCAATGGCACTTAGACCACAGCAATCGATAAGAACAAGAAACCTCTACAACATGGGTTGAAAACTAGCTGGCTTTTAGCTCAGGGGGTAGAGACTCCTGTGCTAAGCTCCAGAAGTCCCAGATTCAAATCTGCCTGGTGGCAGTTACACTACATCAATTGCGTATCTTATTTCAAAATAGCTTATTTCGAAATTGGGAGCGTCTACACAGCATTTATTTTGAAATAGAGCACTCTTCCTCCGACTTCCCTTACTCCTCGTAAAATGAGGGTGACAGGAGTCGGAGTAAGAAGTCCTCCAGCTTGACAGTATTTCAACATTATTTCAAAATAACTGCTTGCTGTGTAGATGCAGACTAAGTTATTTTGAAATAAGGTTGCTGTGTAGACGTACTCCAGAAGTCCCACCCTTAAGCCAGACTGAGCATGATGCTATAGCAGTATAAAGGGAGCAAGCCCAGACCATTCTGATGGTAGAGACAAAGAAACTAGGCTGGTAGCTCCTGCTGAGGCCTCAATACTGCCCCAGCCTGCAGAGGCCGGTGGCTCCAAGACCCATATTTGACACCTGTGACTGACTGATGGAGCTCCAGAAGCGACCGGTGATGCAGACACTGAAGCCTCATGGACTGCCTCACCAGAGATAATGGTAGGAAGTGGCTCAGGGAAGGTGACAGAGTGGTATCTCCTCACCTGGTAAGCTCAGTGTGTTTTTGTGGGATTCCCTGCTGAGCCAGTGTCAGATCGCTCCACCACTGCTAGCGCCCTGAGTTGGGGTCTGGTGGAGGTGGGCCTGGGCCCCCCTACCTGGCTTTCTAGTGGCCCCTTGGGTATTAGCTACTAGGCCAGCTGCCCTGTACCAAAAGATCATTCTATTGACTCTAGTTACTAGGTCATGCATGCTTTCTTTGAAAGGACTGCACGTAATTTGCACCCATGTGCCACATGAGACTTTGGGCCCAAACTGTATAGACGTTTGCCAGACTTCATAAAGCTACTGATGGACCAGAATTTCTTGCATATTCCTGAATTTTTACTTGTTCAAATGTCCAGAATATAGATTAGAAATTCCTGATTACATTAACCTAGAGAAAGAGTGGAATCAAATTCTGTGTTCATATTTTGGAAGAATATTTCTCATTAAAGAGCAAACACACTCTCTTGCTTATATCCAGCAAGTATTGGTGGACAGCAGTTTAAACCCAAAATGGGAGTCCCGGGATCCAATTTAATGTATATTCTATTTGAAACATTATGAAGTTATCTAGGACTCATCTCCTAGGATAGCAATACACTTGCTGCATTGCCAGGAATAAACACATAACATCCCTGCCTTCAGTGTTTACTCTGTTCCATTTAAAATGCTAATAATCTCTGTTTAAATTCCAGCATATTGAAACTCAGTTCATATTACTTACAGGTTATCTGAATTTGTATACAACTGAGGACAGTCATTCATTGGCCTATTTGTCCTTCAAATTCTGAAACATGCAAACGAATAATTAAAAATGTCTTAACATTGCTAAGTAGATTATAACTTGAGGGACTTCCTGCTGTTGAAGTAACATGTCATTGTATCTAGGGCTTAATAAACTCCATAGGTCTGATCTTGCAAGCACTCTGTGACCAGAATTTCTACTGCAGTCAGTGGCTGTTTACCCTAGTCCTTTTGGAAAAAGAAAAAAATCCCATTGTTACTACTTCAGTTCAGCTCTATCAGCAGTAGCAATGCTAGAAGGACTAGAGTAGTCAAGGCTCCCTAGTTTTTCCCATATCATGTACCCTTTTTTTTAGCAAGTTGCTGGGAATATGAAACATGCTTGACCACCTAACAAATCTCTGTGATTGGATTCAGAGGCTTGACTTCTTTCCTAGCAAGCAGAGAACTAATTCGCTGCTTAGGTTTTGTCTTCACAGCTAAAAAGCTAAAAATAATTACAGTGAGCTATCTACCACCAGATTCCTATTTCCCTGTAAGGGTACATCTACACTGCACCCTTATTTCGAGATAACTAGTGTTATTTCAAAATAGCAATGTGAGCATCTACACAGCCATTCCGTTATTTCAAAATAATTTTGAAATAGCAGGAGGCTTATTCCGAAATCTGTAAACGTCATTCTATAAAGAATAATTCCTATTCCAAAATAGCTATTTTGAAATAAGGAGCATGTAAATGCTCTACTACTGCTATTTCAAAATACCCCCTCACGAGGGCCATTCTAAGTTATTCCTCCCCAGTGCCTCCTGGAGCTCTAAATTGAGGTAGCACGTCTACATTAGGGAAGCCTGCCTTGGACTAATTTTGAGGCTTCCCTGCAGTGTTGACGTGCTATTTTGAAATAAGCTATTTCGGAGTAACTATTCTGGAATACCTTATTTGAAAATAGCCATGCAATGTAGACGTTCCCTAAAAGCCTGATGGAGACAAACTCCTCTGATGTAACTAGGTGAAATCAACACTCTATCCTGTGGTTGACCTTGCCTACTTTATCTCACAATAAAACTAAAGTGCCCTGTCTTTACTAGAATTTTACAGTGAGATAACTAACATAAATTACTTATCCAGCAAAAAAAAAAACACACACTTTTTTCGTCTAGTAGCGAAAGCAATGCTTTACATGCCTCTCACAGGTGTACAATGCTGATTAAGAGACAAGAGTGGAGAATGAAAGGACAGTGAAGTTTCCAGAAGAACCAGTTTCTCTACAAGAACAGCTAATTGGTAAGCAGAAGAAGAAAATGCAAATTTCCACATAGGGTGTTTATATAGAGAGTTGGTTAGATATTTGTTACATATGTAGCTCTCTTTTCTGTTCATGAATCATTTGTGAACCAATCCAGTTTGTGAATAATATATTTTAAAGACTTATGGAGGGCTGCTGAAAATGTAAATATTGTTAGAGGTGACACAAAAAGTAGGGAATTTGATTTATTTATGGTGTTCCCTGGTTATTTCATCTTATTATATAAATGGGGTTACTGTTTCTTTTGTGATTTTATTATCTTTTTTTGAACATTTGTCAATGTGCCTGGAATGCTCACATGAATGCCTTTTGTTTATTAACTCTAAATAAATATTTGTCAAGTTGTTCATTGGGAGAAAATTATTTGCAGACTACTAATTTTGAGTACTTATGAGGTCACAAACAAAGAATTGTTTCTGTTCCATGGCCGGATGGCTGGAACATTTTTAATAGCAGAATAATACATTATAATAGTAAATGTAAATAAACATTTGAGTAAAATATTTTGGAAACATTCAGGATTTGTGAATAGCTTCATAAAGACTCAGCAGCTACTCAAATAATTAGGAACAACAAGTAATGTGACTGCATAAATAACAGCAAAACAAACATACCACTCTTACTTGTGAAGACATGCAAAAATCACTTATTTATTACTAGAAGATTTACCTGGCATTGCTTGGGTCCTTAACTCAATTAACTTTTGTTTTTCTTCACGCAGATCATTGCTTTGAGATTGTGCAGTGGATGAGGGATTCAATATGCAGGTTGCTCTGGGAAGAGAGGACTACCCCAGCCCTCTCTCACTGCAGTGGGTGAGAAGTGCCTCTCCATGGTTGCTGCAGCTCCAGAGGATAAAGCCAGGAGAGGGGTACATGTCCCCTGGCTGAAGGACAGAAACATACACAAATGGACAAACCCTCTCAAATATAGAAATGTAGCCGTGTTAGTCTGGTGTAGCTGAAACAAAAAACAGGACTATGTAGCACTTTAAAGACTAACAAGATGGTTTATTAGGTGATGAGCTTTCGTGGGCCAGACCCACTTCCTCAGCTCAAATAGTGGAAGAAAATTGTCACGACCATATATACCAAAGGATACAATTTTAAAAAATGAACACATATGAAAAGGACAAATCAAATGCTTTCGCTTTCTCTACCCCTGCTGGCCCAATGACATTGTCCTGGTCCCTATCTCTGGCCCTTTGCTGCCCCCCTGTGGCCATTCTACACTATAACTGTCCTGCTAGCAGAACCCTCCCTTTACATTTTATGAGAAACAATTGCATTCCAGGCACATCCCATTGTCGTGGCACAACCAAACACTACCTTGCTTTAAGTTATGAAAAGAGGAAACTGTATACTAAATTTGGTGATCCTAGCTGTTTTCTTGCTTATTTTTCATATTCTGTTTAACCATTTGGTTTTCTTGTTCAATACAAACATTTAGCTTGCAGATGGAGTCTTTGCTACCATACCTTCAGATTTCGCAATTAGCCCCAATCTTGAAAACACATATTTAACATGAGTAGCATCATTTATTTCCAATGGGACTGCTCACAATAGTAAAACCAAATACATGTATATGCGTTTGAAGGTTCAGGGCCTTTATTTGTATCTTTCTCCTGACCAAAATCCCAGTGATTTCATTAGGACCAGGTTTAGACTCAGACTTGATAGAGTGATTTTAATATCTGTGTGGCTTCTTACATATTTTTCATCAGTGTCATTGCTGCTGCCACCATAGTTGTAGGGATAAGGTTGATCAGCTAAGTGCAGCAGAGGGAATAAAAATTACTTTTACTAATGAAGGTACTCTGTAAAAATACAGATTTAAAAAATGTATAATTTAGGTGTCAAAAGGATATATTTTTAAAACAAAATGTGAAAATCATATTATACTTCTGGCAATAAACACTTAAATGTGTATGGCACGTTCCTTTGCTACTGATTTTAAATTAACAATAAGGTCAAGATCTACCAGGTATGTTTAGCATTATAAAAGGCGCAATTCTAACCAATATACGTGTTGTGGAGGTTAGACATTGGCTGTGGTATATAGAGACCACAAGTCAAATTTTAGACCTAATTTGACATTGAGTCTATCAACCTTTTATTTTCCAAATATCAAACTTTTGTCAAAATAATGAATTACAGTCTGAAAGAAGATTTAAGCTTAATATATAAAAGATAATAAAATACTGTATAATGAGGAAAAAAATTACTCTCCTCATTCCTGAATATGGTTTGCTCTGTAATTTTCATATAAATGACTTTCCTGACTTCTGCCAGTCTGGCACACATTGTACTAGAAGATGTGATGCACATGTGCATCTAAGGCTGTTAAATAAAAAGAATAAGGATCAGAGCTGATCAAAAAAGTAAAATATAATTTTTGTGAAACCAAAAAACCCTCATTTTTATAACAAAAAACTATAACCATTTGGATAATGTTTCTGAAATACAAGTTTTAAGAAAAAAAAGGAAAAAGGGTGCAATTTTTAGCAACAAAGAAAAATGTTGACAGTGCATGATAAATTTGGCTTTTGAAAATGGGCTTTTTTATTAAACAGCTTTTTGTTGATCCAGTTCTATTTGAGTCTTTGATCATGTAATTGTATTGTAATGTGTGCTGCATAGTTTAATTTGGGCAGTCCCTGGCATTTTAGTACCAAGAGCTTAATTTTTTACTAACTGTAATTTTTTGTTTGAAATTTCCTAGGTTTAAAAACAAAAAGACAGTAAGCATATATAATTAGAATTTTTTGTCCAGACACTGGTAAAATGTGCTGTCCCCTCTATTGTAGAAGATTCCCAAGAGACTGTTCCCCTGCAAAAATTAGAAACTACGATATTCCTAAATGTCACTACTATGAACCTACGACTCCTACATCGCTACTATGAACCTTACCAAGTCCCTAAGAATCTTACTGCTTCTGCAACTATTATTTCTGTATAGAGTGTCATAAAATCAGAGGGGCTTCACATGTGCATAAGAATCTGACATGCACGTCCAATTGCAAGATTGAAAACAACAGCCCAAATCTTAGGAAAATATATGAAAGTATTCCCTCAGTGGACTAAATTGGACTTGCATGCAAAAAAAATAAACTTGTTTGTCATTGTTTGTAGGATTGGGGCATAGTGGGTATCAGAAAAACAGGCAATTATTTTAAAGGATTACTTTTAAATGTTCGTTGTTTAAAAAAGTTAATAAAGATTTCACTTGTTATATAGAAAAATCAGTTATTGAAGAGTTATTGCCAAAGCAAGTGCCCAACCTGCGGCTTCCCTGAAGCATAGCCAATACCCGGGTTAGGTGAGACAGAATGAATTTCTCTTATAATCTACACATAGCTCATGCCCAAGGTGGGGTTATGCTTTGTGTTAACCTTTCCCATTTTTTCCTAATTTTTAAAAATTGATCGCTGTTTAATAAATTGTATTTGCTTGAACTATGTAATGCTCAGTAGATCAGGAGAATGTCGAGAGTGAAGAGAGAACCTCAGAGTGGGAACATGTTAGCCCCTATCCTAAGTGGCTGTGACACGACTGGGGGTCAAGCCTAGGGTTGTCAATTTTGGTAGAATGTATTCCTGGAGGTTTCATCACTCAATTTAGCCTTTAATTAAAGATTAATCTTTAATTACTGGAGGCTTCAGGACAATCCTGGAGGGTTTGCAACCTCAGGCTATGTCTAGACTGCCAAGAAAAGTCGGAAAAAGATACCAAAAAAATTCACTTTTTTCCTGAAAGAGGCTTTTCCAAAATTTGGCCCATCTACACGGGGCCAAATTTCAGAAAAAAGTCCTTTTTCGGAACATCCCTTATTCCTCTCTCCGAGAGGAATACAGAGATGCCGAAAAAACACATCCGCTTTTTCAGGAACTATTCCAAAATAGCGGACATGTTCCTTGGATATGGCAGAGCTTTTCCAGGATACATCCGGTATCCCAGAAAAGCTCTGAAGTCTAGACATAGCCTAAGTCAAGCCCCCAGGAATCCTGGGTCCAGCCCTGTTGGGGGTTACAAGGATTCTGTCCCACAGGAACAGTACTGTATTTGTAATGGTATCATTGGGTTGCGCCAATAGTCAGAACAGTCCTTGACCCAGACCAACCCATTTATGCTGCAACCAAGGCCCTGACAGCCTGCTGTGGGGTAGCCGAGGGCTCCTCTCCACCCCTTGACTCTGCTTACCAGTTCCTCTTCTCTTGCCCCTGGCAGGACCCCAGTGCAGATCTGGCTCCAGGTGGTTTCTGCTGCCCAACATCTTTGGGTGCTCACTTGCCTCCCTAGAGATGAGCTGCCCAAGACCAGTGCCCAAGACCAGTGCAGAAGCTGGGCCCAGCTCAACCATTGGGGGAGAGGAACAGTGCAGGGCACTTGGCTGGGCCCCTCCAAAGTGGTGGAGTGGTGGGAAAAGCAGTGAGGAGTAGGGAAGAGCTGTATGTGTTGGGGTGCCAGATATTGGGGGTACCATGATGGGTGCTGGGCAGTTGTGGGATTATGAGGTCACACTGAGCAGGGATGGTAGTGTGCAGAGCACTGTGCATTTTTGGTGGAGGGGAGTGTCTGTGTGTGGGGTGCTGGGCATAGGGAGTCCAGGAGTATTGGGATGGGGAGCTATGTGATGTGGCGTGGGTCTGCCCTTGAGGGGAAGAGACACGCTGGCAGCACATGGCCAAGGGAGTCAATGTGCATCTGGCAACTGCTGCCTTGTAAACAATGCCCTCACCCTGGGGTGGATGGAGCGGGGCACCCTGCTATGCTATACACCTTCCTGACTCCTTGCTCTGTGGACTGACCTGTTTAGGACATTGCCTCCATGGGGGCCCACAAATATGTTTGGTGCTGGGATCACACAAGGTTAATCCAGCCTTGCACAGAAGAGTAGAAGGGGAATCTCCAGGATCAGGTAGGCTCTGGATAAAAGGAAAGGGAGTGAAGACTCAGATCCTTTCTTTAGCCGATTCCACCACGATAGTGTATAAGCCAGGAAAGTTCCCCACAATAGAGGGACCATTGCCCTGCTTACAAATGCAATTAAGGTTTTCTGCTATATGTAGGCCTTACACTACTGGCACCCAGAGGTGGAGTGCTGAGCCTTCGTATTTTTCATACTATTTGTTGGAGAATTTACCTTTCTTTTTCCAATTTCCTTTAGGTACTGACATCTTATGTTGTAATACTGGGTGCATTCAGAATCTAAGCAAGTCTTGTGAGATGTTATTGGAACGTGTATATATTTGGAGGAGGGGCAGGCAATAAAAACAGCAGAATCATCTATTCTTCATACATTTAGATTGTCTGCTCTGGGGGTGTTTATTCCACTGAAGCTATTTCCCATAAGACTATAGATTGATCTGTCATGTCACTCCTTCCTTTTATTATTACGAGTATTTTTTGTCACCATGCTATTACAGCAATATCCTATTTTGTAGCATCTCCATTTGGCTTCTTTGGCTGGACATAGCTTTCAACTACGTGTTGTATTCCACAGCTTTTTCCCCATTCCCTTTTGGTGTACTGATACACTGTTCTTATAGCGTAAGCATGGCCTCTCTGATCTTTTCAGATTTATTTTTCCCAACTTCGTGGTGTAATTTTTATCAGGCATCATGTTTCCTCTGCTGCTAACATAAAAAGGTATTGCTGATGCTTTATGGTTTATTGCACTCTGACTTAAGTTTTAGCTATCACAGTGGGAAAGCTGGGTCTAAATGAAGAAACTCTGACCACTCACTGTTTCTTAGAACAGTTAGATATATCTCAGATATGGCCTTAAAATAAGAACCAATATACTATATATTTGAGAATGTTTGTCTGGGTGTGAGTCTGTCTGCATCTGTCTGTTTGTTCAAGAACTCCTCCTACAGTAAGGACCACCAAATTCGGTATAAAGCTTTCTCTTAACTTACACTAAATTAAGGGTATGGCATAAGCATTTGGACCATTGACTGTTACAGCTTGTTGTGCAGCACTGATATTTTCTGGGCCTTTCAGGTTCTTGCG